GTGTGTGTGCGTGCGTGTGTGTGTGTGTGTGTGTGTGCGTGTGTTAGGAGTAGGACGAGAATCTTGCTTGTGTGCTTTTATCTAGTCTTGTGCTTCTCATGGTCTGCAGTTATTGATTGCTAAACGTATGCGTCACTTAGGCTAAAGTTGTGCATTATTTGTCCTGGATTCGATTAAACACAACACGGAGGAAGGCCACAGGTCTAGGTTTCATTTGAATTAAATCAGCGAGTTCTCCATTATGCGCAACATGTTGGGGTTAGACTTCAACTTTTAATAATTCACCTTTCTTAACCACAATAGGATTTAACCAGCAATTTTGGTTGATTTATGGCATATCAGTTTAGTTACATGTATCTTTTAAAATAATCTATAGGTCAGTTGTGAGCATATGAAGGTATCTGTAAGCAATGCAACATTGGACTGTGTGAACGCGTTCTTGCATTCAAAACAGCTGGACGGAATGAAACTGAACACAAGGCGCAAGACCTTTTAAAATGTAAACCGACGATAAAGGGGTTGTTTGCCCCAAACTTAAGAACAGTTTACTGGCCAATGCTATTCCAGTGCAGTGTTGTGTTTCTTTCTTCCAGAAAACACAAAAAGGAAATTGCATTTGGATTTAATGATAATGGATGGTGGTGTTTAAACGTCTAGCCTCAAAAAATATCATAAAAGTAGTTTATATGACTGGTAAGCAATATTGTATTATAGCTTTGTGTGAGGAAGGGGCTAAAACCTAGAGTCATTATTGCTATTAATCTTACCCTCTGCTGTTGCTCTCAAAGGTCGTTCATTTCACACATGCGTCGCTATCACGTGACATCAACCCTAGAATGCCCCTCTATATTTTAATAGAATCAACTGCTAATCATCTTTGAGAGCTAATACTGATGGGAATATTATCAGTCAATACTGACTTTAATTCTTCGCAAAGTGCTGTCAGTTGACCTAAACAGAACTGGAATATTGCTCACTATTCAGCATTGAGTTTTTAGGGCAAATAAATGACACAATAGTTCTGGTTGAACTATCGGCATACAACTTCACAAGCCACCTTGACACTCAAAAAAAAAAGTATAATGCAACAATGGCCAGAGCTGTCCAACAGACATATGTTGTCTATCGTGTTCTTATCCCCAATACATTTATACAAACTAAAGGTTTAGTAACTTTAATACCATAGAAATAGGCTTTTGTAATTACTGGTTGTGCAATAAATCATCATAGTATTGCGCACAATTTGTGCAGTTACTGGAGACGAGTCTACATGAGTCTTGTGCGTTTTCATCTTTTATGACTTAATAAAACCGTTCACTTTTTTAAGAGATTGCTTGGTAGGTTAAAAGTTCAGGGTCATTAGTTCTCTCTCTTCAAAAAATAAGCCTTAAAACAGAATTAAATCCAGGCCCTAGACCTGACCTGAAGACAGACAATGCCATCAACACATAATAAACTCCCACTGGTGGTATCTGGAGCAAAGGGAGTCATAGTCATGCCGCATTTTTGAGACATTGTTTTTTCCCCTTCACTTTCAGAACAATAAGGTGATGAGCTACAACAGTCCCCTCTCCAGTCCCCATTTACAGTCTGTCCCCACCACCGGTGCCAATTCCCCCTTTACCCCCACCGGGTCCCTGCTGGACAGGAAGGTGGTGGGTACCCCTTCAGTGGGACTCTACCAGCGCCGCCACTCCGTGTCCATTACCAGTTCCAAATCAACGCAGAACCAATTTATCAACAGCCTCAAGATGGACGGCTCGGCTTCCATGAACGGGAGCAGCAACAACAAGGAGAACCGCTTCCGCGACCGGTCCTACTCTGAGAACGGGGAGCGTCTAAGGCCGAACAGCATTACGTGCATTAGTGCCAACGGAAACAGCCAGGTTAACTCAAGCCGCTATAAGACCGAACTCTGCAGGCCCTTTGAGGAGAACGGCACTTGTAAATATGGTGACAAGTGCCAGTTTGCCCATGGGATGCACGAGGTTCGTAGTCTAAATCGCCACCCCAAGTACAAGACCGAGCTCTGTCGCACCTTCCACAGCATTGGTTACTGCCCATACGGGCCGCGCTGTCACTTCATCCACAATGCAGAGGAGCGCTGCGGACCCCCTCCTCTCTCCGCCTTCAACAAGATGGAGCGCCCCCGCCTTCATCACAGCTACAGTTTTGCCGGTTTCCCAAGCTCAGGTGGCTCCCAGGAGAGCCCGACCTCTGTCACACCTCCACCCATATTTTCCACCGAAGACGTCAATGAGTGGCCCAGCAACCCTTTCACTTACTCCAGTCAAGAGCTTGCCAACTTGTTTGCGCCCAGTTTAGGTGGCACCACTGTTCCTGATCTGCCCGGTCATCATTCTCCCACCGCACCCTCCTTCTTCAGGCCAATGTCCGAGTCGCCCCCAAGCCCTCCAGATTCCCTCTCCGACCAGGAGGGTTACCAGAGCAGCCTGGGCAGCCAGAGCGGATCCGAGTCACCTGTGCTGGACGCCACACGCCGCCTCCCCATCTTCAGCAGACTCTCCATCTCTGACGATTAAAACCTGCCCTCAGGGGTTTCAGGCATGAGAGAGAAAGCACAGAGAGAGCTGACGAGAAAGAGAGTAATTTTCCTCCTAGCAATCCCTTCCTGTCCTTGCTTTGTTTACAGCAGAGAAGTGGACTAAAGTACAGTGTTCTCGTAGCCACTGAGTCAAATCAGAAAACCTACTACCCTGTAGCATCAACCATCGGCATATTCCCAAGCCTCCCTAGACGTCTTTAACACGCCTGATGTAATGCAAAAACAATGAACTGTTCCCCTCAAGGCCCACTTAAACGTTGAGGTCTCAAAATCCTCACTGGAACATGTTAAATGAATCCATATTTAGTTCATAGTGTTCGAACTAAAAAGCAGAGTTTTCAAATTTGTTCAAGGACCTTCTTGTTCTAAGAATCTACTGAATATTACAGCAACAACGTGCTTTACAGACCTGGAAGTGCCACTTTTCTTGCGGAAGACCCTCGCCGGAAGATCCTAGGGACTTTAAGTGCCTATCAAAAAATTTGTTTCCTACTTGTTCAATCACATTGATTTTCGGAGATCTGGGGTAGAAAAGGTTTAAAGAAAGAATCAAACCCATCTTAGATTTGTATGAATCATTCTGAAAGATATTTGTACGTCTAGTGGTGCTAAATACGCTGTCACCGTGGTAATTATCCCTAGAACATGTGATCCCTTGCGCTAAAATAGTGTGTTCTGGTTGTTGGATTATGTAAGAGAGAAGATGTCCTTCCTGTTCATGTTACCACTAAAGATGTGACTTCAGTGGCCGCTAATTGTTTTATTGCAAACAGATCATTGAAATGTTCTATCATTAATTCAATATTGTATTTCCCCTATTATTGTTATAATATAGTTATTATTGCATCATTACAATTATTGTTGGTATTTTCTGTTTGGAAATGAGAACTTTCAAACTGAAATTTTTGCTTGTCAGTGCTTATTTAACTTATCAAAATGTATTTATTGCTGATTGTAAGCATTTTTTTTATTTTGTTTGTATTTATCTGGATAATGAAACAATAGAATATATTTTCCTTTATGTTAAATTATGATCTTCTGTATTAATCGTAAGATTGTGAAGACCTTTTTTTCGTTAAGTTTCAACAGTTAATATATTATACTGCAATGACATTTTGTAACTACATTTTGATTTATTTTTAAAGTGAAACTTAATTTAAAATGAGAATGCAAAGAGGATCGTTTTGCATTTTATTTATTATTTTTCTCCCTAATGTTGGACTGCAGTTTCAGGATGTTTATGCCTCTATAATCCTTTATTATTTGGCTCCGACCGTCTAGAATGTAAACCGAGTTATCTTGACAATAACAGTCCTGTGCCTGTGATTTTAGAAATCTGATGTTTAGACTGGGATCCTCTCATTAAGACTCCTTTTGGTATGAACAAATAGTAGACAATAAATGCATTATAGTACAAATCTCATGACCCTCGCAGTGGTCCGAACCTCTGATCGCAGCAGCATTTTGATCTAAATGGACGGTTAATAAGGGAATTGTTAAATATGCATTTGTGTATTTATTTTGCCCATTTTGAAACCATGTTATGTACACCAGCAAACATGTGTTGTTTTGATTTGTTATGACTCAAAATTCTTATTTATTTACAGATTTTGGACCACTTCTATACTGGCCAAGTGCCTAACAGTACATTCCAAGAGTCTTGAACCTTTTTAGGATTGTAATCCAGAGTTTTTATATAGATATTAGTTGAAATTCGGGGTTAACAGGATTGACATTGAGCAAGCTACAGTTGAATGTGTCCTATGTTAGCAGCTACTGCTGTTCACATCAATATGTTTCTTTTGTAACGACAGATTGCAGTTTAAATCAATAAAATACCTATTTATAAGCAAACTGACCGTGTCTTTTTTTTTGGGCTCAAAACTGTTTCAAAATTCGTTTTTTGTAAGTTCATCATAGCAAGGCCACTGGCTCTGATACTCAACTCTAATGCAAACAGCTGTGCTTATTATTTCATGCCATATTTTGACATTCTCTCTGGATAAATTCTTATTCCTTCACAAACTCCACAAACCTCCCAATACAGCTGAACGCTATGAGACGGGGGCCTGTTGATGAACCAGCTAAAAAGCTCAAACTGTTTTCCTGGAAAATCAAAATTCTGTCCCGGCCCAATAGTAAGGATGTGAAAAGCCCCTGAATGATGTCTTTTCCTGGCACGGATGTCCATGGCTTTTTGAATCTCATTCAAAAGTACTGGCAATGACGGGACTACTAGATAGAAAGCACAGGGCCCTTGAGAACAGACAGTTCCTGTAGTAACAGTCAGGAAGGGTCTTGTGCTGGGACTAGCAGTCTACAGTGCATGTTTGCTCCCTATGTCACCGGACAAGCATCCATGCTCTGCGAGCACTGTCAGTCTTTGCTTGGTTTTAGTTTAATTTCCCTTCGAGAGAGAATTCCTGAGGAAAGCTGTGATCATGAATACAGTCATAGCAGAGAGGGGCCAGATGGCCATCTGAGTAGTACAAAGTTTTAGCCTTTGGTCTTTAAAGAAATAGTTCACCCAAAATGGAAAATCCTGTTGTCATTTACTAACCATATTAGATATAAAAAAATTAGATATTACATTACAGTTTAAAAGTTTGGGGTCAGAAAGATTTTTAAAAATAAATTAATACTATTAAATGGATGTAAAGTAACAGTAAAGACTTTTAGATTGTTACAAAATTCTATATTTCAAATAAATGCTGTTTAACTTTCCATTCATCAAAGAATCAAAATTGTTTTTATCACAGTTATATAACTTATTTTTATATAATTGTCATTGGGTCTTTTTCATGAGGAAGTTAATAATGACATAATATACATTTTTATGTGAGGCAACCCTTTAAAAATATTACGTAGCAAAGCATAACAGAAATCCAGTATGTGTGTTTTTCATTTTTGGGAAAAGTGCTGTAACTGTTAGTTATTCTGTCAAGAACACACACTTCGCACCAGGGCTGTGGGTCACTGGGCCTTTAAGAACAGACATGAGGAATAAGGCCAAAGTCGCAGTTGAGCAATACTCACATAGACTTTGTAATTCCTCTATCAGCTCTTGTGAGTGTTTCAGAGGGCAGTGAATAAACAAAAAGAGCTCTGCTCTCGAGTTCACAGTATCAGAGGTTTGAAACGATTTGCACTAAAAGGGGCATTTCGGGGAGTTTCAAGATTAGGGAACGTGTGGTTGTTGGTTTAACCTCAAGCCAGTGCAATAACTAAATAAGCCTCAGAAAGCAGAACAAAACAAAAGGTTCTGAACAGAATTGACTTGAGGTCACAAGCAACCAATTTTATCAATTCAAAAACAAACACTGCTAAAAAAGAAAAAAAAAAGAAGAAAAGAATCAAGGCTAATTGAAATCTACTGATATTCAACATCAAGCCCCAAGCAGATGTATGCATGATCTTTTTGTGTGGCTGGTTTGTATTGTGATAACAGAATTGACTTGAGGTCACAAGCAACCAATTTTATCAATTCAAAAACAAACACTGCTAAAAAAGAAAAAAAAGAAGAAAAGAATCAAGGCTAATTGAAATCTACTGATATTCAACATCAAGCCCCAAGCAGATGTATGCATGATCTTTTTGTGTGGCTGGTTTGTATTGTGACATAGCCTGGCGTGAAGGATGAGAAGTATCTCATGACTCTCTGCTCTGATTTTTACATGAACATTTATTTTTTTCTCCAGAGCCTTCTGTTTTGCAGGGGAGGAAAGAGTTTCTTTGGAAGGAAGGAGAGTTTTCCTCCCTTCGGTACAGGCACAGGCAGCGATATCGCCGCAGGTCGACCATTAAAAGATCTGTCAAAACATGTCAACTCTCAGCCTATCAGCCCGCTTATGGGGGGGAAGGGAGGAGAGATATACAGAAAGAGGATGAAAGAGAAAGAACACCTACTCAGCATTGCGTGTTTGGCTGTCACAACTGACTTTATCTGCTGGCCGAGAGCTAAAGATGTCACCATCGTCTGCACTGTCAGCAGAATCTGCTAATGAAATCAAAATAATTAGAGTTTGGAAGACCTTGAGTTTGCATTTATTAATGTTAGAACTCTATAAAAGCTGTACTAGGAAGGACCAGGTCTTAAACATAAATACAAAGAATGTGTCAATGCGTATCTGTGCACATATACAGCCAAAAGCAAAACAAGGCGAAAAAGGAGGAACCACCCAAAATAACAGCATTGTTCATCTAATCAGACAAACTTCCCTTTAAGGCAGAGGAACCATGGGAACAGGAGTCATGGCAATAGAAGCCATGGCAACGACCAGTCAGGGTCAAGAAGCGTTTGTCCAAGACTGCTGTCTTATCACACGAGCAGCGTGAGGAAAAATACGTCTGTCAATCAATAGCTGACTGATGTTGCAGTTTTCTAACTGGATGAAAACTGAGGTAATGTTCTACAAAGTCCAATCCGTCTGCTTTGTGTCTGTCCACCACATGTTCCTGCAATGTTTAACCATGGCTTGTACCTGAAAGAAATTATAGAGCAGTCGTGGTGTTAGGAATAGCTATGGTGGATGATAAATATTAAATTCTGTATACCTCATGGTAGTCACTATAGTCTCCGAATGACCGTCGAAATAACCTTTATGTTCAAATGCATCATCACACGTCGTTATCTTCAGATAATGGACGGCATTGAGAGTTTAACTGACATAGAAAACATTAGTCACTTCACATTTGTTTACTGGCCTTTAAATAGGGCAATAACAGCCACTGCATTCTGCGGCCAAAGGAAGTTCTTAACAAGTAGAAGGTGCGGCCTGGGAAAGGTTGTAGACGAACCCCGTCCTCACTCTGATTGGCTGAAGCCCTGGATCTGTTCCTTGGTTTAAAACACTTTCTGTGTTTTCATTCCCTAGAAAACATAAAAGCATAAAAATTAATTTTGATATTTTAGTGGGGTTTAAACCATTAAAACATCTAAGAGACTAAAACGGTGAAGGGACTTCGATATAGAAAAATAGTTATTCTTTAAACAAAAAAACAGCCAGGTTGTGTGGAGTGTGCAGAGTTTTTTCAAGTATTTTACTTTTGGGGGAAAAAAACAAAAAAACAATATATATATATATATATATATATATATATATCATACACTTTGGGCGCAGTGAAAAGCACATTTTGTGTGCCTTTAGCCCTGTTGTACCCTATATATATAAGGGTACAACAGGGCTAAAGGCACACAAAATGTGCTTTTCACTGCGCCCAAAGTGTATGATTGCAGAAAAAATATATACCTTTGTATTGAACATTTATGGAGGAAGTGATTTTGTGTGAAAGTAAATAGTTTATTTTGTTTAAAAATCTTATAAATGTATGAGGTGGCATGCTCACCAGCATTGGGCAAAAGGCACACAGTATTGATACAAATAATTTAGCTAAAATAATGTTTTGTTTGATAATGTCTAAGTTAATACTTGTTCAAAACAATCACTTTAGCAAAGTTTGTACTATTTTCTGCTTAGT